AACTGGTCTTCCAGTGTCAGCCGTGAATCCAGGAGGACCCCCAGATTGCGTACCCTCTCCGAGGGAGCCAAAATTTCGCCCCCTATAGTCAGCGATGGAGTCAGCTGACTATGCCGAGGCGCCGGCAGCCACAGCCACTCGGTCTTGGAAGGGTTGAGCCTGAGTCTGTTCCTCCCCATCCAGACCCTTACGGCCTCCATATGCTGGCTTACCCCATGGTAAGCCAGCATATTGGCTGGCTTACCATGGGGTCCTCAGCAGAGTCCATACTGTCATACTCCACCGGTAGGCACTTGGTAGCCGTTGCTTCCACTCCCATCAAGGACCGTTGGGGAGTGCCTCCCTCAGGTTGTCGGGCGGCCCGCAACCATTCCATGGTCTTCTTAGGGGTAGGCCCAGGTTTTCCGGGGGTTACTGGGCTGGCCTGTGGCACGGGGACCGGACACTCTGCTGCCCGGTGCCCTGGCTGGTTGCACCAAAAGCACCTGAAACCAGACCGAAGAGCAGGACCGGAGGATCCCAAAACAGGGGCCTGGGGTCTACGACCATCGTCCCTTTGTTGCTCTACCGGCCGCCGGGGTGCCAACGACCCCTCCGCGGTCTTCCGGAACTCCTGCAACCCCGCATCCAGTTCGTTCACTACCCGGAACCACTCCTGGAGCCTACATGGTATCCCCCGAACCACACATGCCTGACGTAAGTCCCTGTCCAAACCAGCACGGAAGTGGTGGACCAAGAGGCGTTCTGGCCAGGAACGCAATCTCCCGGCTACCCGTTGGAACTCCCGCACATACTCCCTCGCAGGCCGGCCCCTTTGTTTTAACCCCAATACCTCCGCTTCTGCACGCTGGAACCGGGATGGATCTTCGAACCTGGCCCGCAACACGTCCAAGAATAACCCGGCATCGGCCAACTCCCGGGCGTGGTCGCTATACATGTCCGCTGCCCAGGCTGCCGCCTCGTCCTGCAGACTCGCCATCACTGCCACCACCATCACCCAATTGGATGGATAAAGAGGGGCAAACCAGTCCAGGTGGCTTATGACATGACTCATAAATGGTCTGGGCAGTCCAGGCGGTCCAGGCGGTCTGGGTTGCCATCAAATGACACCGCAATAGGCGGCGGCCCCCGTATGAACCCTGAACCCCATGGACCCATGGCCGGTGCTCCACGCTGACCATCGTCCATAGGGGAAGACTGCCGGCCACTGGGGTCTACCCCCCAGAACCCCAGAGACCCGGACGACTGTACCGGCTGCCTGGTGGGTACTGCCGAGGAATCCGCTGCTCCCCATTCCTCCCGTCTCGGCCGAGACTGTGCAGCTGGGACGCCCACAGCAGGAGCCCCTACTTGGAGAGAACCGCTCCTGGGAGGCACGCGTAATCTTGGGCTAGCCAGATGGAATCGGGATGACTCTGCTGGGACCCTGGGACCAGAGGTACCCCTGGCCCGTGGTAGCAGCTCCAGATAACCCGCCTCTCCAAACTGGTCCCGAAGAATGTCCGTTTGTTGACCAGGTGCCGTGGAATAGCTCCACTCCTCCTCCTCGTCCCCAGTCAAACGTCTCTCCCTCCATTCTGTGAAGGCCTCCCCTGCTCCTGAGTCACGCATCCTGCCGGGCTCCGGGCGGTGCAGACTAAGCCACCAGTCCCCTGAAGACACTGTAGGGCCCGTCTGCTGGGACTCACCCACCGATGCCTTGGGCCTCATCGACGGCTGGGCATCCCCTGCCTCTGCTGCAGGCGCTGGCGCTGTATCCGCAACCGGCTCAGCTGCCTCCTCCATCGGTGCGGCCCCCTGTGTTCCCTCCGCCATTCCTCTGGACCCAGGAACTAGACAAGGTGAACAGAAAAAATTGAGTGCTAACTTACTGTCAGCGCGTCCTTTTTGGTGCCCAAAAAAGAGCTGACAAACAGGAACGAGCGACGACCGGATGGCTTTTAATCCATACAGCAACAAAGTTAGCACTGGGAGTGAGTTGCTCCCGGTGCTTTACATAGGGTTCCGCGCGCTAGTCCCACCCCCACCCCACAAGCCAGCATCCGGTCTGTGGGAAACAAAACCAATCAGCAGGGGCGTCACCCCCCCCCTTGTTCCGGCCGACGTGGCTTCCAGTCCTGCTATAGCGTTCCAGGAACTATAGCAAGGTGAGCTCCCTTCCCCTCTACTGCCGTCTCCCTGTTCTGTCCCCCGTCCGACCCACACCCCCCAACCAGGCAGCCGAGGCCTGAAAAACTGCTCGGCACAAAGGCAAATGAATTCCTTGGCAGCAACTGCGTAGCTGCCTGCCAAGCCTTTACTGATAAGACACAGCAAACAAAGATAATTCCACAATGACTTGCCAGAGAGCGTGCGACCGAATATCCATCAAAAATT